AAACCAATTTCTGATTCGGATTACCCGATCCCGATGACCTTCAATCAAACTTTATAAACTATCGTTTATTTTTTCGAAAAACCTTTCTTTTAGTGAGAAAAATCAAGTTCAAAATTTCGAGTATCCAATTGCAGATTTCGCTTCTCCGATCCCGGTTGCATTCGGTTAAGCCTTATAAAAAAATCGTTATTTTCTTAAAAAACCCTTGCCTTAATGTGAGTGAAGTTATGACCAGATTCGAATATATCCTACCCGGATTCATCCACGAACTTGTTCCAATTATGCTATTCTTGTTCCATGTAGAAATTGATGAACTGTATCCATTGGTATAATCAGATGTTTCACAGCTTAAACTAATCGCCTTAAAGCTCGAATTTTCGACTTTTTTCCTATGGAGAGCAACTACCTTGAAAAGTATTTCCTTCTCGGCTTCGTCTAGGAACTTGTGCTAAGTGTGCTATTCTGGTTCCGAGCACAAGTCGACTAGCTCCACTGATTCGTAAAATCTGCCTCTTGAAGGTATGAATGTTGGGTGTAAGTGTGGGTGTGGGTGTCGGTGTGGATGGTGATCTTTTCTTCGCGTCAACACACACCGCATACCCCACACCCACGCTCACACTGACACTCTAGTTGTGTTAAATCATTGTTTGAAAGTGCTCTCATGAGAGTTCGAAATGCATTTGAAACATGTTGCACCATCGATCTGAAAGAATTTTAACAATACAACGAAAAGTGCGTCTGAAATTTTGCACAGAATCATAAATATGTTTAAGCATTTACGCGGAATAGTTACATTCAAATTAAGACCTTTAGATGAGTCGAGAGAAAATCTTTCAGAGTCCTGTATGTATTTACATCTTCGGTCATAGTCAACTTGATCCTACCTTCTCCTAATTCCACATTCTAGATATATACATCGAAGATGAAAGTACCTATTATATCGTCGTTGATTCAACTTGTCCTGTTGCACACATTTTTACCTGGAAGCATCAATGGAGCTTGTTCACCAGGAACGTATTATGTGATGAATAATGTCAATTGTTTACCATGTCCTGCCGGCCGTTATTGTCCTCAAACTGCGACCAGCACCAACGAACCATGTCCATCAGGAACATATCAGCCAAACGAGGGTGCCGTCTCGGTTACTTCTTGTTTGCAATGTCGTGCTGGCACTTACAATTCAGTGTCTGGACAGGCAAACTGCGTAAACTGTCCTGCTGGAAGTTATTGTCCTGGAACGGGAGCCACCAGCTTCCAATCGTGTCCAGTAGGAACATATCAGCCAAATGTAGGTGCAGTATCTGCTCAAAGTTGCTTGGCATGCCCCACAGGCACGTATAATGGAAACACTGGAAAAGCGATCTGCATGAAGTGTCCTCATGGAACGTATTGTGACACAACTGGGGGAACCACGTTTAAACAGTGTCCGCCAGGAACATATCAGCCAGATGAGGGTGCCACGTCGGCTCAAACTTGCTTGAAATGTCCTGCGGGTACTTTGTATCTATTGTCTGGGGATATGAATGCTATCCGTGCCCTGATGGTTATACGTGTGACGATCCTGCTAAAGAACCAGTACCTTTGTCGACTTCAGTTGCACCGACTTCAGCTTCAACAACTTCCGCTGCACCAACTTCAGCTTCATTAACTTCAACTTTATTGATACTGACTTCACCGACTTCAGCGTCAACAACTTCAGTTGCACCGATTTCAGCTTCAACAACTTCAGCTGCACCGACTTCAGCTTCAACAACTTCAGCTGCACCGATTTCAGCTTCAACAACTTCAGCTTCATTAAATTCAACTTTATTGACACTGGCTTCACCGACTTCAGCTGCACCGATTTCAGCTTCAACAACTTCAGCTTCATTAAATTCAACTTTATTGACACTGGCTTCACCGACTTCAGCTTCGTCGACTTCAGCTTTATCGAACACAACAGTTGGATCAACTGGAATTTCATTTCTTGTAATGAAGCAGACATTTGTGCCTATGCTATTATGGAGTATGGTCTTGAGTATCGGATATCGAGCAAGTATTGATATTGATTAGTGGTAAAGTATTGATATTATGGAACGATTTGTATTGGTATTAACTTATTGATTTGATTTATATTTAACTACTTCATTCTACATTTATATATTGATATTATTAATATCCGATAGAGGATTACGCTAGGTACGTTTGAATTCAAGAATTATCTGGCAGGATTCACCCAGAAAATGATTCCAAAACTCATGTTCTTCTTTCAGAAATAACTCGCTCAGCTCTATCGAGTGGTATAATAAAACTTCCTATCACATAAGTTGTGCTTCCAAAAGTTGAAGCGATACCTTGCTATAAAATTTAATTATGCATGCGAATTCATTCATGCGGTATTCATGTAGCAGCTTGTTGCAGCATCTCTTTTGCGGGGGTGTGATGTAGATATAGATGTAGGTATTCCAGTGTTCTCTTACGCTACACCTACATCCACCATACACCTTAATTGTGAGGAATCGTTTTCAAATGTTAGAAACTAATTATTACGTTGACTATGAATAGGAGCCAGCAGGACTAGAAGTGTTTTTAAGTAACTTGCCGTAATAGGACTTGATAGTGGATGTAGTGTGTGTGAGGCTTCTCTTCAGATAGATTCACACGCTCACGCCCGTATCCTATTCGAATGGATATACAACTTAGTGATTTCCGTTTTCAAATTGAACGGCGAACAGATTAGCACATGAGGAGGTTACATCGTGTCCGTTGAGAATGTCGAGTGAAGAGTAAATTATAATTTGTTGCAACTATTATAGTCGTTTGTAAATGATTATTGCCTGAAGCTTTGCTTTTTTGCCATCTACTTTTGTAATCGATTAGTTACATCAAACAATTTTATTACATGTGAATGGAATCTATGGTTGCAACTATTAAACTTGCATGCACTAAGATTCATCATTTGCCATTTTGATGACGATATAATTTAATTTCAATCTTTTAGAGACTTATATTTTCGCAATTAAGTTATTGACAGTGATAGCCATCTTGAAGACACACGTTGTTCATCTCGTCCTCTACTGCTATACAGATTGAAAATGGCGTAGGTGGATGTGGGTAAAAAGAATGCTGAGTCTCATACCTAAAGCCACCCATACCCCACCATTTTGACACTCGAAACAGCTTACGAAATACTAATTACAAAGGAGTTGGCGCTCATACCCCCGCCAGATTTTTATTCTTTTAAGCGTATTTTTGTTGCCAATGGTGTCAGAATATTAGATCACTAAACTAGATCGTGAACTTTTGTAGTCTTACCAAAAAAAGTTAATACTTTTGGAAAAGGAACACTTTAGATAAATTGTTGACTAGAGGGTGTGTGGGTGTGGGTATGACTATTCTCTCACCGATACACCCACACCCACAACTATCTGTTAATCTCAATAAGTGTTTTTCTTTAGAAAAAAATCGTTCTTTGTTTTCGATTGATAGGAACCCTGACTGCTATTCTATTTTGGTCAATTTTTTGTATTCCAATTGAAACCTATCCTATTCACTATGTAGAGAAAAACTTTACTTTCTTATCTTACACGATAGATTTTTAAACTTTTATATTTTACTTCATTTCATACAGAATTCAGTGTTTTAGAATAACATTGAGTTGAAAATATTCCAACACATGAACAAAGAATTATGTAAAAGAAACACTATTTTGCTTTGTACAAACACCGTATCGAATTTTTTCACATAATTTAGTGACAGTTGTTCAATCTTATCTCAAATGGAAAATCTAACTTTAACTAAGTGCTTCTGACTTCAATCAGTTGTTACATATAGTATTTGAAATAAAAAAAAAAGAAATTATTTACCAGGAACTTTAATAAGATATCGACTAGCATCAATTAATTGATCGTCATTTATTGTGCATAGATTACGTTCAAAACATGTATTTAAAGCTCTTTGTAATGCTTGATATTGCTGAATACGCTTTGGATAGGATCCAATACCTTGTAACCATAAATTAGATATATCATGATCAAATAATTCAAGTTCATCTCCTATGGTCGATATATCTTCAAGAAAATTTTGATAAGAAAACAAAACAAAACAAAAAAAGAAATTTTCAAATTACCTTGATTATCAGTACGAAATGCAAATGCTAAACCAACACCAATCTGTGGAACAATAACAAGATCATTCAAAGATAAACCACCTGGATTTGTAAATGTTGAACCAGGATTATCGGGATAACCTAAAATAATAATATTATTATACTTTCTTATTGTTTTTTTGTTTTAAATAAATATCTACCAAATGAATGCTATGTTGCAAGTACATTTGAATCATCACTTGTTCCCCATCGAAATAAACCCTTTGGTATATCAAAACCAGTTATTCCTAAAATCAAATAAGTCAATATTTTTTTTTTCTGAAATATATTAAAATTCTTTACACCAGCATTAACTCCAACTGTAATCATAAGTCTATATGAGCAATATTGTGAAAAATATTGATTCAATGATCGAATAATTGCTATAGGAATTCCAGGTACATCACGTAGACTAATTACACATGGAACAGGAACATTAAAACGTTTTGCTAATGAAACAGATAAATCGAAAGAAATATTTAATACACGTTCATTCATCCATTGATATTGCATATTCATTGCACCAGCATGCCATGCTATTGTACCAGTACGTATAGCTCATTCAATTAACATTAATTCATCATTTGATGGACATTTTAATTCTATTCCAGCCAGAACAAAATTTGATGGACAATCAAAAAACATACTTAACAACCAAGGATGTGTCGTATATATAAATGAATCATCGAGCGATATACGACGAATTTGTTCAGCTAAAATAGCTGCACGAGGAAGATATTGATGAAAATATATATTGAGAATATTATTTATAAAACCCATTGTTGGAATACCATTGTAACCAACATCTAAATGATTCCTAAAAAAACCAAAGAATAAATTTTATCAAAGATACAAAAAAGAACAGAAATTTACATATGAATAACATGTATACGTGTTATATTTGATAGAAGATGATTCCAACAAGTAAAATCTTTTGACGTTGGCCAACAAATTGATGGTAAATCTGTTGGATATTTTATTATACCTGGTAAGCTATTTCCGTTGTCACATACATACTCATACACACACCCACACACCCACACCCACACCCATAACAAGCACTGCAATAAAAAAAATGAAATATCTCTGGATCAGTTCAACCAAATGAGCTAATTTTTTGTTAGTAGCCGATTTCTATTCAAAGTTGTTTTTTTCATATAAATGAGGTAAGCAAATACTACTGTTAAGTATTACTGTTGGTAACATGAAAGCAATTTTACCTATTATCAAGTACAAAAATACATGTGCATCGTTTCATATACAATTTTTAGTTGTCATCGAAGAAAATAACAAAAAAACAAGTCAAAACGAACTTCATGAATAATTCTATATTGATGTACATAAAACAAATTTTCAAAACTAGTTGTTTTAAAAGTCAACGGTTACCATATTTCAAATTTTCAAACATAGAATATTGATTCTTTTGCAAGAAAGTTGATATCTTGATACCCGAAAGGCTGCAATTGTGTTTTACCTATGGGTAGGCCCCACGAAAGTAGGAGGTGTAGGGGGTGTATATCCGCCAATAACTGAAAATTATTTATTCGTAGCCAATAAAATCGATAATTTTTTTTGGAACGTTTTCGCCAGAAAAATTTGAAGGAATGTTCCAATTTTTTGCTTCACGAAAACGTGACCACGCAAGCGTGCTCGGCCTAAAAATATCTGTGATTTGTCTGCTTTTAACGCAATTTTACTCGTTTCTTCCTGTTGAAGCGCTTCATTTCCGACCAGTCGTCACTAGCGTGGCCGTCGGCGGCGGCGAAATCTCTCAGAGCTATCGCAATATTTTTTCCTTTCGAGCAACACGAGGAAAGAAAAAGGTTTTCATGCGTCTGAAAAATGTTTTCACTTCGCGAAAAATACCAATTGTGTAACGGCAGTGAACATAGAAAAACATTCTACTGTAGACAATTTTTCCTCTGAAACAGTTTGATATAGACCAATGTTCGCCAGTGGTCGCCTTCGATGACGACAATATTCAGAAGCTTTCTCACATACGACTCGAGTTCTCTTCTTGAAACTTTGCCATAAAATGTCGAATTTTTTAAGAGGGTTGCAAAAAGTTGTCGCTTCGCGAAAAAGTTTTACATGGTAGGTCAGCAAAGAAAGATTAACATCACATCTGATGCGAAAAACAAATTTGCGTCCCTCAATATTGACTGTCTCGGAACTTCCTCACACCTCCTCCTCAATCTTGGCACCCTAGCGCGAGACCTGCCTATGGAACATGAATTTCAGCATTAAAATTGAGTGTGAGTGTGGGTGTGATGAGAAGATTTACACCCACACCCACACCTACACCACACGTCCACACCACAGACCCACACCACACACCCACACTCACACCACACACCCACACCTACACCACACATCCACACCCACACCCACACCCCGCATTTATCTCGTTGCTGGTTGTCTTCTATTGTTATCGTTGTTCTTTTGCATTACTACGCGATTGATATACATTGCGAAGCATTTGCATGAAACGATAAGAAAGCGTGTGAAGAACAAGATGAATTAATTCGTAATGTATGACGTTATTTTGAAAAGGCGAAAAAAAACAGTGTAACGCGCCAAAATATGTGCTCTTTATTCGTATAAAAAAGTTGTTTTTTGTTTTGTTATTCTTTGTCTACCCGAGTACTTTTATGTTTGTTGATTCAGTTGTGAGAGTATTTTGTATAACTAGTTATCACTGATGTATCACTTGTTTTCTTGTCAAGAGCTCCTCATGTATACCAGTCTAGTTTATTTTTCAGAAAATATTATCAAATGCTTGAAATCTTGTTTGGACACAGTAAGACTCACAGTCGAAAATCCGATTCTGACAACGCTGATTATCTACGAGTTATAGGAGCTGGATTACCACGGACAAGCACTTCATCACTCAAGGCTGCCCTCGAAATACTGGGCTTTGGTCCTTGTCATCATATGTCTGAGTTATTTGACAAACCCGAACAAAGCATACTCTATGCGAGAGCATTAGATGGACGCGCAACGGATTTTCATGAATTGTTGAAAGGATATGGGTCAGCTGTAGAAGCTCCAACAGTCTTATTTTACAAGGAAATCCATCGAGCTTATCCTGAAGCAAAAATAATTCTAACTGTACGTGACAGTGTTGAAAAATGGCACGAAAGTCTTAAAAATACAATTGAACCTGCAGGCTCTGACATTTTTTATTATATTGCCATTTATCCTATTCGGTTTTTACGCTTACAATGTATCGTTGTCCGGAAGATATTTAATAAGTGGATCACTGACTATGGTGAAATCGGACCTCAACTTCACGATTTACACAATGCCAAAGTGATAAAAGAAAATAAACAAGACGAATTGCTTGTATTCAATGTCAAAGAAGGATGGGCCCCGTTATGCAAGTTTTTGAACGTGCCTATACCAAAAGATATTCCGTTTCCAAATATAAACGACACCAAAACGATGTAACGTAACGTTTTAACGGCTAGAATAATGTGATGGAGTGTATGGGGATGTATTCTTGCAGTGTCCAGCATTCCAATTTATTTCTTTATCAAACGATTCGGCTCTTAGTCGATTGAAAGTCATTACCATCTCGGTACAATAAAAATGTTAGAAAAGTGAAAACTCATTTAATCACAAATACAGAAAACCTGGGTTACGCCAATGAATAATTTGAGTATTCCTGCATTTTACATAGAGTATGCATCCACTTTCGCTCGAGAGAACATGTAAATCCAAAATTTCGTGACTACATTTCAAAACCTTGCCTTTACTCAAATACCAGAGATCAGACTTCAATCTGGGTCAATTTTGTGACCCAACCATATTAGGTGGGTGTGAGTGTGGGTGTTTACAATGCACTGTTGCCTCATTGCTACTAACATCCACATATACACCCACTAAGAAATGAAACATGCAAAAAAAAAAAAGGTAGAATAAATGGTATTACATACACAATATCATCTAAATCAACAGTAACGCATCCTGAAGCTTTCACCACTACAATAATAGAAATATCACGCCATCATTCAATTCCAATAGATAACATCGATTGCCTTTACAAATAACTACACGATTCTTTCCTTCTTTTTGAAAAGTGACAATTTATTGTTTATTTGTGTTACTTAGAAATCAAAATAAAGTAAAATTATACGTGTAGTTTTCGTTCCAATTGACCAGATGATTTGTCAAGTATTATTTTTTTTGACAGGTTAGTTCATATTAGAATACCAAGTTCTCGCATTAAATCTTTGTGTATTTTGATCAATGATAATATGCGTGTCCGTCAGCTGTTGACTATCAGTAGTAGTAATGGAATCATTTGAGATTGTTGCTGGTTGGTATTTTTCTACATGATTAATGATACAATATGTATGCTCAAGTAGAATGTCATCATCGACCTCAAACGTTTGCAAATCAATTTCAGAAATGTCATTAGTCCAGAGATCAATACGTTCTATATATATATCTGCAAAGGTATTTTTAGATCGATATACGCATTCAGTACTCGAATAAGTAGCCTTTTAAGTACTCCTATCCATACAATTGGTGATTTCAATGTTGGTGAGATATTATCTTTACCCAAAGTTTGAGCAACAAATTTCTTTTTACCTTGATCATCGAGCACTGCTTCACGTAGTTCTGCTTTGACATGTTTACGTAGTACAACATCAAATGCTACTTCTTCTATTAGTTCATACAAAGCAATTATGTGAACGAGTAGAATTGTTGAAAATGGTAGTTGTCGGAAAATATCCTCATGGAGACATGCACTAGTGTTCATATGCTGTTCAACAAATGTTTGTATGTTGATGTCCGATAAATCGTCATCAATATTGCATAGATATGTGAACACATTATCTAATAAACCTAGACTATGAACAATTTCATAGTGATTCATTCGAACAAGTAAACTTTTCAATTTTGCTCGATCAACTGTAGTTAATGGTGTTTGAGGAATTCGTCGTCGAATATTGGTAATAAGAGAGTTATTTTCGTTATACAATTCAAATTGATAGCTGAGGGTGTGGGTATCTTCTCTGCAGTTGGGTTCTGTTCATGTGGTGTTTTATCCCTCAGAAAAACAAAGACTTTTTGCTAAATTAAATATTGAGCTGATTTCTCTGAAATATGTTTTTTTTTAAATGACTATTTTATTTTTGAGCAAACAATTCATAAGCAAATGTAAACATATTTGTTTCAGCTGAAACTTAGTGGTGCTTCTTCCTCTTTTTCCGCGATTCCAGTTCTCCGTGTCGGTATATTCGTTCGAGGAAAAAATTTAAAACATTGTCTTCATAGGTTCTACATAGGATCTTTGAAAAACATTGGCGCTCATACCGATTCCTCTTTCATCTCATCTGATTAGTTCAAACTAATTTATTAGGTAGCTACGAAACATTTACAAAGGACGAATCGAAGAATTTGGAATACTTGATTTACAGACTGTTAGTATAAGACTGTCAGTTTTTGGTTTGATCAAACAGTTCTCGTACGTTTAGCACACTCTTCTTGAATGTAAGTTATCAAAACATTTTCTTTCTGTTCTCTTTAGAAAAGTTGTTCTCTGTATGTTCGCTTACACTTCAATCAGCGCACGTTGTAGATTATTTTCTGTTTCTATCAGAGGATAGGAGAAGAAATAAAAAAAAGTATTGCTCAAGAAGTCGAAGAAAATGAGAAATAAAATTTTTATCTAAGAATCATGAAATGACACAGGTGTAAAAAGTAATAAATGATGTTTTTCACTTTGATATATACAGCAGGAAAAAACTTTAGTGTGAGCTTTCAAAAAACAACTTTCTGTCTCAAACTCGACGTCGAAAAACAAATTTATCTTTGCTTGTAAAGTTAAAACTAGAACGATATTCTTCTTCTTCTTTTCAGACACGTGTTCACGAAGAAAAAAAATAAAACATCATGGTAACAATCAATTCTCTTCCTCCAGAAGTGTTAACAAACATTTTAAACAGAATTCCTATACTTTCCGAGTTATTTTCCATTTCGACAACATGTCGTCTTTGGCATTCTGTTATTATTGATGAATGGTTTCTTCAACAGAGATTTGAACGTTTTAAAAAAGAAAATATCATCGGCCATTGGAAATTTGAAGATGCTTCCCATATCGGACATGACTCTTCTGGTTATACGAAGAACAATTATTCCATCATAGGTCAACCTATTCAGTCCGATTGTTTTCTCGGTAAATCGATTCAACTCGATGGGCAATCGATGATTACTATACCAGTAAAGGATCTTGCTCGTTATCAAACA